CCCCCCCAACCCCGCCCCAGAAATGGCGGAAACAACCGAAAACACCATGCAAACTGTGTACACGCCTCCCCCTACTACCCCTATACGAATCATTTTTTCGCAGCTTGGCGCATGTCCAGGAATATTCTAGTCATTTTGGTGTCATTGTCTTGTCCTTTAGCCTCGTCATTTTCTTGTCATTTCTGCTCATGTCTTCAGTCGTTGTTCTGGTACTTCTCATGTCATGAACTCCCCAAGGCCTTCGCAGACTTGGTATTTGTTTTCTCAATTTGCGGCAGTTTTCGGTGTTGTGCATAATTCTTGTACCAAGTTTCATCTCAAGTCTTGCAGCGGTGTTGCAGCAGATACTATCTACCCCCCAATACTAGCCCACCCCCCCCAAACAATACTAGCACCCCCTTCTTTCACCCTTAATTAACATTCATTAGGCATAATTGTCCATAATAAGCTTAATTACGGGAGAACCTAGCGGCGGGTAGCAAAGAGGGTGTCGCTGAGGCGAAGTACGAACCTACGCTGTGTGCAGGGGCAAGTGGCGCCGCGTACAATGTCGGAAATGCTCAGTATGAAAAAGTTGCAGGGTTCCAGGCAGCTAAAATTTCGCTGGAATGGAGCTTTGCTTTGCCTCCTAGGCTGAGCAGAAGAGTCTCAGCCTTCAATCCCTCTTCTTGCCGTTGTTTGCAACACGGCGCTCACAAGTCCAGGACATACAAACCTTTTCTCATTTTGAACGAAGCCACGGCAGCAACAACCTGGACTCGTGATAGATATTTGCCAGCATCCCCAGTTTCCTCATGGGAAGGGAGTGCAGGTGTGAATTCATTGGCTAAAGTTGTCCCACTGCCGTTTAAAGGCCAGATGACTTCGGCCTGCGCCATTTTTGGTAGGAGCATCGTTGCCCGCATCCTGTGTTCACATGTCCAGCAGGAATCGCTTGGCAACAGCACCCAAGTGGCAAGAAATACCTTTCGTCAGCCTTCCGACCGTGAAAGTATTCTGTGCTGGTTCGTCGAGAGGCAAGATTCCAAGAGCTTGGGGGACGGAAGGTGTTCCTTTTTCCGTGCCACTATCGATATCAAGCTGGGTGAGTGCTGCGCAAGTCTTGCAGCCTAGTGCAAGCAGGCGCGTTGTGAGGACTGCCAAATCTCAGCATGCCTTTTGCCCCGCCAGAGCGGCTACTTCTTGGCGCAGTCCTGCACGATGCGACTCTTGCTAAGGGGCTGAAGCTGTTGTTTTGTACAAGCTTCTTCCACCCACGTGCGCAGCTCAGCACGCACAGTTGTCCGGAAGTTAATGCCCTTGCACGGAGTGTTGATTTTGAGAAAAAAGTCTTTTTGCGACTGTACTTGCATCAGCAGTTGCAGTGTGTAGCCTGATGCGCTCGAGACCAGTCATGGCCTCTTTGCCAGAACATGTTCGTCCTGAAGCACCTCCGGAATTTTCATCAGAGCCTCTGATGCAAAGGGCGTCTGCCCAGACAAACCCGGCACAGCTGTGGGGAAGACATGCGCAACTAAAAGGGCTGCGCATAGCAACGAGCAAAGAATGAAAAAAGACCAAGCAAGGTATGACAAGAGCGGCACAGGGACCATCTCCATCCCTGAGATGAAGGCTGTCCTTGCGAAGTTCGGTTCTACGCGCGGTGCTGACTACAGTACAAGGATGGCTGAATTTCAGAGCGGGATCCCTGCACGAGCGAGTGCGAGAGCTTAAGTTGAGCATGGCTTAAGGTTTGTGCTTCAAAAAGCCAGGCGGTTTTGAGAACCACCACCATCGGCCTGACAGAAAGAGACCTGAAGAGTGTGCTCAAGCAGGCCGTGGACAGGGCGTAGGCTTCCAACCTCAAGCTGTCCAGGATCATTGAGGGCTGAAGGAAGAAACCTGCCAGGTGGACGCGGACGGAGATGGAGCTGTGTTTCTGGCTGGCTTTTTGCGTTTTTTGTAAAGCATCGAGCAAAGTTGAAGCCAGGTGAGTTTCCCGGAGTACCTGCGTTTGGAGTCTCCCTTAGCTGGGGCCGCCTTGCAAAGCCAATCTCTTCAAGTGAAGTTGAGGCTCAGAAGTTGGCAGAAATGCAGAACAAGACCAAGGTACAAGCTACCAAGCTGCCAGACCTGATTGCCTGAACCAAACGTGCCTTCTGAAAGGGCAAGAGCTCTCGGATACCGCGGCTGTACCTGGAGCCTGCAGCTCTTGAGCAGAACCTTGGCCAAGTGTTTGTGGTGCAGCTTTGTAGGACTGGGTTGGATTGTGTGCAGAATATAGAGGGGTGAAGGCATCAAGGCCACGCGTCTTGGCCTGGCACTTCCCTGTTCCTTCACCCTGATGAATCATGATAAAGCAAGGTACACAGACCTCTTTGAGGGTGCAGCCGGGGAGGACGGTGCCGTCAGCCTCAGCCAGCTTCAGGACGCTCCATCAACGCATCCACCGAAGCAGAGAATGACGTTGAAAGTTTTTTGCGGAGGAGTTCTTGCAGCAGCACAAGATGACGATAAGCGAAGAGCGCTTGACAAGCATCATGAAGGAGGCCTGGACAACAAACGTGGGGCAGAAGTGATCATTCCCGGATATTCCCGGGTCAAGCCACATATGTGAGACGCAGCATGCGCTCAGAAAGCCATCCAGAGTTGCGTTGTCGAGGTAGATGATGATGACAGCGGCGTGCTAGAGCTCGATGAATTTCTTATTCTACTCATCAAGGCAGTGATCCACTGTGGCTTGTTGATGCGACATGTTCTGAATGCTTCGGAGGCTTTGGGCATCAAGAAAAGAAAGGAGCGCCCCCTGCAAACATTCATGAGGCTGTCCCGTTGCTGGATGCCAGGTAGGCCCAGAACAGAATCCAGCTTCTCAGCTTCGCCAAGAGGGCTGGTTTGCGCCTTGTGTTTATGTGCTCCGCTGGGATAGCTGCGGCAGCATGTGAGACTTTTTGCTTCAAGGGCGCTCGGGGAGTTGCGGAAAATCGGCTACGACTGTGCCGCTCTGCGGGAGGACCTGCCAAGCTGATAGCGTCGTTTGCGAATTTTGCGACATGCCATGTTCTCCCAAACAGGCTGGATTCACTGCTGCGGATCTCATGGACGTTTGCACAGCGCGCCCCAGCAGATGCGAATTGCAGCATGATGCAGTCAAGGGATCTTCGCACATCCTAGCACATTCTTAGTAGGATAATCAGTGATCACTTTCTGCTTCCTGCTCTCAGCCTGTGAACATTTTCTCTGCCTTTGTGGGAACATTGCGTGAGTCTGATGCATGTCGGGCTACAGACAACAATGATGCATGAAATCGACAATCGGAAAATGTCGAACCCGAAAGCAGTTGATCCGCAAAAATTGCCGCCATGCACGGGTGCACCATGTAGAAACTTCATGCAGCGCGACTTCCAACGGATGCCCTGGGGCCACACAAGCCTAGCTCAAGGCTTTGAGACTAGGCGGGGGTTGAAGGCGCTTCAACCCTTCGATGCCTGGGAGGGGAATGGGCAAACACTAGACAATTGAAGCCCAAGAGTTTGTGCAGGCATAGCTGGCCATCAGGACATGTTTGATTGCGCTTTGGCGTGGCTGTGTAGCTCGAGGCTCGCGAGCTGCTTTTGGGCGGCGTGCCCGTGCAGCATGACTCAGCTTCTGGAGCTCTCAAGGCTGTCGATTTGAAGTTTGCAGAGCTTGCAAAGCTTGCATTTCCGTGAGGTCCGAACTGCTTGCAGCAGGCCTCGTGGCGAGAGAATCAGACAGCGATTGCTAGAGACATTCTAGCGCCGGCCATGCAGGTTGGGACTGCAGACATGCCAGAGATGCGCTGACCTTTGTGCACCTTTGTGGACTCAGCCCTAACAGGCACCATGCTGGGCAAAGGAACGGCTGATGAGAAGAGTCTGGCTGCCAAGCCAGAAGCAGCCGTTTCCGCTCAGGCCATATTGGAGCTTGGAATGGCTAACATTTCACAAGGCATGCACAGCTGATCTACATGTAGAAGGGTGCCTTCATTGAACAGAGCGTCTTGAGCAGATTCGCCTGCGGGACAAGACAGACCTGTCACAGCGCTCCTGTGAGTCTTGCTAAGGTGATTGACATGTTTGTCTCGGATAGCTGGCAAGACGCCTGAACCACACTAAGCACACTACCAAGATCTACTAAGCACTACAGGCACTAGAGCAAAGCAGAATAAAGCAGGTAAGGTAGACCCAGATAGGTGCATCGTAGCATGGCCCTGTCGGTGGGAAGCCGTGTTGCGGCCCGGCAAGCTGGTGGTTCCCGGTTTATCCCACTTAAGAACTCAAAGTCGCGGTTTCTTGGAGGAGTTTTAGGAGAGCAGAGGCACAAGAAAGAAGGAGTTCAAAGCCCTTCAGCCTTGCGTTCTGGACTTGAACCAGCAGATGACCAATCCCTACACAGCACGCCTCATCTTTGGAGTAGGCTGAGTAGAACCAAATCGATGTTACGTGAAGCAACTGTTGCCAAGAACACGCTTTAGATCAATTCAATTCCAGCGACATGCTAGTAAATCTCAGTCTTGATACTCGGGATAGCTACGAAGTTGACGCTAAAGGCTCACTTCCTCTCCGATATGATGCTACCGACGTTTGGGTAGTAATTATGGCTTTCAAGGAGCAAGGCTTCTGCTAGGTAAGGATCGTTCACTTGACCAACCTGGTACTGACCTGCTCTGCCTGACCCTATCGCTGAGCACAAGACCACAAAATCAGCAAATACAGAATCTGAAGTTCAGGTCGTGCTTGACGGACGCCACTTCGAGAGGTTCCGAGCTGGCAACAGAGGTGTCTGAGGCTTAGAAAAAGATGAGCCATCTGAAATGCGGACTTCTCCATGTCTGGCACTGTGACTCGCTTGAGTTGGTGCTGATCAGCTTATCCTCAGACTGTACTCGACGTCGATCGCGAGTCTGGATGCTGCCGGGTCGCTTTCGACGAAAGCCCTGGCGTGCTCAGCTGAGTAAATTGGGCATGCAGGGTATCTATGTTTGTTGGTTTCCGCATTGGCATGAACATAAACCATTCTGCTGTCAATCTCGGGATGGAAACATCTCGAACATTTGCGATGCCTTTGCATGTCGCGGAAATGCTTCAGACGCAGAGCTATATTTGCCCCTTTTAACACGGGCTCAGGGTGTTAAGGCATGGCACGTGAAGATCAGAAGAAACGTGAACATCATGCGTCACAAGCGCATGGGGAACGCTTGCGCGACGCTCGCCCCATCCAGCAGTCACGTGTAGAGCCAGGGCAGCAGGGACAACTCATAGAGAAAACGGGGACTGAATCATTTGGCCAAGCACTGCATCGAATCCACTTGCTCATTCGCGGTGCCTTCGTTCCTGTCACATTTTTACAGAAAGATGGAGAGCAGCTCAGGGAAGATGTTGAACTTTGCAGGCAGGACCTGCCTTGCAAGCATCGCCACGATGCAAGGAAGAAACCAAGCCATGCTCCACGACTGTCTACAGGACAAGACAGGTCATAAAGCGGGAAATTCAAGCAGTGATGCAGCGCCTCCTTTGCTGCTTCATTATCCAATGGTTCCCTTCCTTGACAAGATAACTAGAGTACTTCGAATGCGCGTCCTTTCGTTTCAAGCTGATGTTTAGGAGCAGGCTGCGGATCTACCCTCCCCTTCCCCCAAACTCAAACGGCCAATTTGGCACACCACCCCCACCAGGTCTGAGCTCGGGAGCGGAAGCAAGGGCAATGAAGTAGCGGCGACACATGCAGCTTGTCGATCAGGTGCCGGTCAAAGTCGCCATCAGCCTGGCTGGCTCAATTTTGGGTCCATCGCCAGATTCATGACATGCAGTGGCAGTGTCCGCAACGAGGCCTCAGGATGTTTGACTTAGAGAGAGGGAGCCTTACAAACCTGCCAGGGCATTTGGGAGCCGATGTTTCAGACATTGGGTGGCCACGCTTCACAGCGCTTGGACGAGCGAACCATGGAAAGGACAGACTGCTGTCTACGCAGTCAACTTGGACTCTTCAACAACATCAGCTTCTGTTTTCACCCAGTGTTGCAACAGATACGTCTAATCTTGCCTGCTGCAATGTCAACGCACATGCACGTAGCTTGTTGTGACCTCCCTAGGCTCCAGGATGATTACAATCACAGAAAGAACCGATCAATGAGAAGGCACGCCGCGCAGCGTAGCCAGCGACTGGTGCCTGAAGGGGGCAGCATGGGCATGAGAAACAAACCGACACGGCCTTGTCGTGGCCACACAAGGGAGGCAGAAAAATGAAGACTGTTTGATAGCCGATCATTGTCGTAACAACTCGGATACTTCGGGAGCATTGGAAATTAGCCACGGTCTGTTACGAAATCTCTCTTCTGCGAGCTTTCGTTTACGGAACAGCTTTGATAATCAGTCCAAGGGGGTATGGGCGGGAACCCTCAAGATGAGGACCATTTTGGGGGTCGTTTTGAGGGCCCCAAAATCCGGGTGAATCTGGAGGCGGTGAAGAAGTGGGCCGCTTGCAGTCCTCTTTACTGTCTCTTGGGTGAGCATTCGTGCCCCCCCACCCCGGGCGCGAGTTTTTGGTCTTTTTTCCCGAACGGAGTGCTTGGCCAGCCAGTGGCTTAGCTGATGAAACTTAAGATCTCTGCTAGTCACGAGGTAGACTTCTCAAAGTCCATGCAGTGTCAGGCGATCTGAAGAGTGTCCACCTGCTTCTTATGAAAGCCAACTGCGCTATCATACTCCATTTCCCATGCCTCCAGGAGGCTCCCAGCGAAGACCAGGCGCCAAAGAAGACAACGACAATTTTGGAGTTTAGGGCGTTTGTTGTGAGAGCTGCACCTTGCCTTTGCAGGCCGGAGATGTTCTCGCGGAAGCTATCCGCGCATGTGCCGAGGCCAGAAAGGGGTAGATGGAATTCAAGTGCAGAGTCTTACCGTCTCACCTGTTCTCTAGGCAACCTCTTCAGCATGCGCTGCAAGCATGATGGAGGCAACCATTGGTGTCAGACTCATACTGTCATACTATGGACATGAACTGAAGCTTCCGGCAGGTCGTCGGGGTCAGACAGGACTTGCGGCAATTTGACAAGGACTTCTAAGACATTCCATCGTTCGCATGCACTTGATATAGTGGGAGTAAATGCATACAGGATCAGCTGACGCGATTGAGCGAGCAGCTGATTGGGCGTCTGTCTAGGTGCGCCAGGGTGGGAATCGCTGCTCAAGTACTGTTTGACATGGAATTTCAGTTCACTCAAGTCACTCCTGCCATACGTGAGCAGAAGACGGTGACGCCTCAGCAGTTGGCACATGCTGCGGAAGGATGGATCGTAGTCAAATAAGTGCACCCTGCATTTGGAGTTGCAGCATGCATATTGTAAAAGAAACTTAAAGAAACGGAGTGGTGGTATTCAGTAGCCATCCCATTTAATAGGCACGGCACAGTGCTTGGCATGTGCTTGCCACTATGTCTTATGATTTCTGGGGTTGCTAGCGGGCTTGCTGTGCCATGGGTGGCACCAGTTTGGCGTTCAGCACTCCAGCACACAACCAGGTTGGAGCAACGCGTGCAGGCAAGGAGTTCTCTGTGAGATCTCAGTGAGTCTCACTTCTTGGGTCAAGAATTGAAGGCACTGGATGAGGGATTGGCCCGCGCTCTGCCAAAGGACTGCTGCTCTGTCAGACATCGATCCAGGTATTGACGCAGGCAGATTCGAAATTACTACGAGATGCCTCTCAGGATCGTGTGGATGAGCAGCTGGCAAACCGAATTTCGAGGCCTAGATCTCTCATGTTTGTTGGCCAGCTTTTGCGTAATAGGACAATCTAGGTGAATAGTCAGGCGGTGATGAGGACCTAGGTTGCATCTGAGTGAGCTGAAACAGAGCCAATGGAAGGAGAACAGCGAGAAATCGTGAGGGAGAGCCATTGCAAGCCTGCGCCAGGCTGGAGAATTGGCAAGTTTGGCAACCGCCGGCCTTGGACAAAGAAAGGTTTGCTGAGACTGCGCTCGACGCGCTTGCAGAGGACAGCTTGACCATGGCGCGCCAAGAAAGGCGGTTGTACATGGGACTTTCACATTTGGTCTCCTTCGAAGGCAGCCAATGGCTCTTGAGTCCAACAACACGCTAGCTGGTTCGGATGCAAATTTGGGCAAAGATGATAGGCAGATTTTTCATTCATGGCTACCTGGAGAACTTTCCACCAAAGCACAGTGTGCCGACTAGTACGTGCATGTACGCACTGCCAACTGCCAAATGCCGACATTCGGCGTGTCGCTCACATGGCGGCCTCCTCACAAGTTTGCAAAGCCGCTGTATGGACCGCCTTTGGGTCGCTGGCCCTGTGCTGGCTTTGTTCCCAAAAGCTAGGAATGACAAGCCTGGTAACAGCTAGTCCGCAACCGCGGCGATTCTCAGAACATGCTAACTGGCTTCTTCCCGGACACCTCATGATTGGCCGCCCGCCCAGTCAAGCAAACGCCTGTCTGCCGTTTAGATGGCTACGATGGAAGATTGACTCCCCAGGCCGATATCCTTATCTGAATCCCGTCTACTGCATGTCCCAGCAGGACGCAGATAAAGGCATCGCATGGTTTGTGGGATGTTTGCGCTCCCGGCAAGTGCGTGTGGTGAAGGACGCTGATGCGCAGTTGCGCAGCTTGCTCGATGCTGGAGTCACAACCTTCGTTTGTTTGCAGACAGCTGGCGGCATTGGAGCTCAAGAGCGGCTGAAGTTTTCAGGTTGACATGGAAGCGAAGGTAGCTCAGGTCCGAGATACCGCCCCAGATTGGTGCTGGCGCCGTGTGGCCAAAGAGTGGCGTGCCAGTAAGGGGCTTCGCTGGCAGCTTCATGCCCTATGCAGCCAAAGCCCAAAGATTGGCTCCGGACAAGCCCCTTCAGTTTTTGCGACCTGGCGGCAGCCATACTTGTGGCGCCTGCGCCAGCTGAGCACAAAGCCACCAAGGCATTGCCCAATACAGGAGACCTGACTTCAATTATGCAGGGCGTCATGCACCATGCAAGGCATACACGTGATGCTTGCGAGTGCCCAGCTCCCAAGGACTTGAACACCCCGCAGTCCCAGGAGTTGTCCGAGTTGGTGGCCGATCTCTCTCAACGAATGGAAGCAGGGGAGGCCTCATGATGCCCTGCTTGCTTTGTGTCAGCTGAAGCTCTGAAGATGTTGCCAGATGTCACCAGGTCATCTACCTACACTGCTGGGGTGGCCGTGGGCGCAGTGGTTCTGGCCTTGATGCTGATGTTTGTAACCACGTCGCATCATGCGCATTAGCTCCAAGATCCACCGAGCCAGGTGTAGTGGCAGCATGCCTCTTGGGGCGCTTCTTCAATCTTCCCCCTGCAGAATGCTTGCGAGTTGTGCAAGATGGCTACAGCTCGAGGCCACTTCTGCAGCTGTTGCTTTTCCCGCGGTATCAAAGACAGCCCCTTCCCTTTCCACGCTCGGCAGACCTTTCAGTGCATACTGGGCTGGGTTGGGGACTTGACCTGGCAGTCACGCGCATCTGATACTTGCATATGCAGGGGCAGTGAACTTGACATTGGCGCGCTGGCCAAATCACCTCAAACTGATGAACAGCGTCAGTTCGTGAAGCTCTGGCTGACTCAGACGCAGTCAAGCTAGACGACCCCAAGGCCCCAAAGACTTGGGCACATGTGAACCTCCTTGCTTATCGGCCACAAAAAGGTCTTCACCCCTTGCCTGCAGTAATGATGAATGGGTTGAAGCTGTATCCTGCCTAGCCGACCTGACGTGAATCAGCATGCAATGGCATGGAAAGCTGCTGACGGCTGTGCCGGTAAAGTACGTCATGTGGCAGCTGACCAGACTGCGAGGACATGCGGCAACAGCAGAGGGCCCTCCAAGACTTGAAGTCACAGCCGAGACTCAGCTTTTGTGCTCCCTGAAGCTTTCTTGAAGCCCTGAAGAGCTCAGGTTCGAGAAAAGCTCGAGCCAACTGGCCCAGCAGCTTCAGGACCTGCTTTGCAAAAACCATTTCTTTGCTTTCCTTCAAAGCCAAAGCCCCAAGGAGATGGCCAGATCTCAGAGTCGGCTTCAAGCAGAGATGTATGTGCCGAAGGCGCAGTTTCGGAATTTCGGAGTTCCTTCTTTCAAGCAAGACATTTATCGTGGAGAGGTGTCATATGCATGCACCCTTGGCTAGGCACCTCAACATGCAGAGGCTGACATCTATGGCAGCGCATTGAGGCTGTGACCGCATCGCCTTGAAGCTGTTCGAGAAGCATAGTTGAAGAGAACACAGGACGCTGACCAACAATATGGAGGGCCTGAAGAGTTTGATTGTCCTTGGCTCGGAGCCTCCGCCCTGCGGAGCCATGTTTGCACCTCTGGCTTTGTGGGTTGAGAAGCTGTTCACTCGAGGAGCACTCGCCTTTGCCAGCGTCTGTGCCTGATGTGAGCACCTCGTCAGCAATGTGGTGCCATTAGTGGATACGGCCAGCACACTCGGATAGCCTGAGAGGAAGCCGAACAAGCAGCCCTCCCGCGCGAGCAGGACTCTGTCGGATCATCATCCTGCTTCTGAATACTTACAAAGTTTGTGCTGGGCAGGAGCAAATGGCGCAGCCTCACCACAGACGCTCAGGAGCGGGAAGAAGTGGCTTCAGGAGAAATGTACATAGCCATGCGGGTCATACCGGCATGTGGGTCAAGGTTTGAAGGTTCCAAAGCACAAGACCCTATGAAGCTTCAGAAGTCTGAAGTGTCAGTGGGTAGCTGTAAAATGGCCCGTTGTGTTTTCTATTCGGGATGTTGAAGGACAGGTAACAGGACGGCAAAAGGTACCAGCTAGTCAGCTGCTTCAAAAACCAAGCCGCTAGCGATCTGCTTCGGAGTTTCCGTACTGAGCCAACAGCTTGTGGCCTGGCAAGGCCGGCAGCTTCTCCTGCGAGCTCCAGCACTGGCACCTTTCGATTTGCCAGTACCCAGGCCACAACATTGTTTCGTGCTGGCTTTCTGTCAACTCTGCTTTGGACAGGCATCCGTTTGCAGCAAGTGCGGGAGCGTCTACGCCGCGGACGCAAACTTCTGCCGCAAGTGCGGCAACAAGCGAGAGCAGGCCAGAAGCTTGAGACCCATCACCTACTTGAAGCTGTTCAAATGAATCCATTTGGCAAGGCATCCACGCCTGAAGCCTTCGCAGCGGAGGTACGGGAACAACTGGCTGCGATCGGAGACATGTCGACAATCCAGAGCTGTGAATGAGGCTTCCAGTCCACTTTCATCACCGCATGCGAGTCTACAAGCATTGCGATCGAGGCACGGCAAACCAGTCAGGTGTAGCAGTTGGGCCGCTAACTCTTTCATTGCCTATTCACATCAGTGAAATCCGGAAACATGTGCAAACGCCGGCAACGAGGGATAGCCATGGCGTTCCCGCGCCTCAGAACCAGTAGAGGTTCCTGATGTCAGACGCAAGGTTGATCTACGAACAATTCAGAGTTCGTTAGATGGTCAGGTTGGATATCTTGGCTGAGCGGAAGAATCGCAGGTTTAGGATTGCCGCTGATGACTTGATGTTGGACCTTAGTGCCCCGGTAGTTTCTTAGCGTTTGAGTTTGAATGGGACAGAGCCGACTTTCAGCAGTGCTCCTGCCGCGACAGGTAGAAGGCGCCAGACTATGTCAGCGTAGTCGGGTCGACTTCACCCACAGAATTCAATCCAGGGCATGCAGCGCAGGAGATTCCGTGCCGCGCACGGAATCATGCGCGCGTGTGCTCCAGAAAGGCGCAGCAGCTTGAAAAAGCCCAAGCAGGATGTGCAAGCTCGGGACAACTATGAATGGCTTGGCCTTCAACGTTTGCCTCTGAGGCTGGATTCCGCATTTCAGATCTCGCTTCTGCAGGTTGGTGGGCACTGTATTGCAAGAATTGATCATCAGATCTGTCACAAGCTCCTTTTCGTGTTGCTTTGGAGGCGCTTCCATCCGAAACATTCGCACGGCTGGGTGTGGCTCTTTTCTCCCCACCGTGCAGATTAATTGCAGGTGGCATGGCAGCCTTTCATTGTTTTGAGGTTCACAGACTTGGCGTCCGTGGTGGCTCTCCGGAAACGAGGGGCCGGCCCCTGAGATGCTTCCGTTAGCATCAAACGCTTGAAGAGCCTGTTTGGAGGTGCAAGCCTGGAAGCTTAAGCTCGGTGCCGTCCCCGGGCCGTCCCCACCCCAAACTGCGGCTTGAGCTTCCCAGCGTGTTGACATCGCAGGCGGATTTACGCTCTCGGACTTGCGGAATGGAGGTGCGCTTCAGCCACAACAACTCCCCGGCCCATGAGGAGTCCATGCGCAAAAGCAGCCTCTCGAGGCTACTCCAGTGCCGAGCTCCGCTTGGCAGGTTTCTCCAGTGCCACAGCCTCAAAAACAGCCTCAGACTGTCAGCGACACAGTGGATGTATTTTGGCAAAGATTGCATGGAACCAACGCCAGGCCAGCATCGCGGCCCTTGAGAAGTGCGGCTTCATGATTTGGTCAGGGGTGACTTCAGAGTCAGTGTGTGCCTAGCGCCCTTGCAGCTTAAGTCTTAAGTATTGCAAGCTGTATGCACTGTAGAAGCACAGGCTTGCATGGTTAACTTCCTTGATGCATGACTTCAGCGAGTGAACGACTGCAGCTTCTGGTGGTCCTTGGCTTGTGCAGACGTTGCCTGTCGACAACATCCCCTAAGGGGATGGTAGAAGGCCGATCAGCGCGTTCACTCGAACGTGCTGAACTCATGGCTCTGTCGGCGGCGCAAGCAACCGGTCTGCTCTTGCTCCTGTAGTCTGGCATGCACGCGGCGCAGAGTCAATCACTGCCTGATCTTCGAGATCATGACCAAGAATTTCGCAAGTCAGGCTTCTTCGCATTGAAGCGGTCGTCAAAAGTGCGAGACATCAACCTTGAGGAGATAAAGCAGCGTCGCGCTTCGATCTATCATGGGGCAAAGAAGAAGCTGGAGCAAATGGAGAAGGAGGAGCAGGAAAGATGGGAGAGGCGACGGCGAGGTTTGTATGGCCTGAGCAACAGTGAGAAGGCTTGCTTTGCGCGGCCTGTACCTGCTGCGCCAGACACTCTGGCGCGCATGAAAGACATGGGCGGCGTGGGCGGTACCAGGCCTGAAAGGCGAAGCGTCAGCAAAGGCACTATGGGCACGGTGCGTTCGGAGAGTGCTTGCTCGGATGATGGCCAACAAAGTCCCAAGCCGCGACGCCGAAATGCGGCGCTTGTGACGGAGAGGGCGGCACTAAGCTCAGTGGAGCTGACGGAGGACTCATCTGGTAAACCTGTGAGCCACAAACGTCTTCTGAGGGCTATTCTGAACCCTTCAACCCAGACTCCTGCATCAGCAGTAACCCCCCTTTTCAGGGGTAAGAGATGTGAGAGGGCATCAAACGTGGCACCCTAAAGCTTCATGGACTGCTGGGAAAATTGCCCGAACACCAAATCCCAGAAATTTGTTTAAATCCTGGAGCTTAATTCCATGAGACATCTCTGTTCGATGATGAAATCAGAGTCTAATCAGAGCCTTTTCAAATCCTGGGTTTCAGTTGACCACAAGATGTATCTCCGAAACAGGAGGCGGTGGAGCGCATTCTGAGAGTCCTCTTCCCAACCAACCCGGCATCCATGGCACGGGTTGGCAGCAGCTACCGACGGCAGCGGGGGGTCAAGGCCCTGGCCTTCCAGGCGAATAACGCTTCCTTAAGCGTGCCTGCGCTGCCCTCCATTAGCGCCCTGGGAAGCGATGACAGCACGGCAGTCAAGCGCAGCCTCACAAGTGTGCTCAAACCTTCCAAGGACAAGCAGTCACTCGCAGAGGCTCGGGACTTCAAGGCTCTTTTGCTGTTGTCTCCGCGGTCTGCCCTCGACCAGTCGCTGAAAAAGGTCGTGTCGGGAATAGATGCACAACAGCTCAAGAAGATGAGTGACCTTCTGAAGCGCGAATTGAACATCAAGTTTGAAGCCCAAGATTCTTCGGCACCACGCAGGCAGCCTCTTTACGTCACTCCAGAGAATGCAGGGACAAAGAGAGACAAGGAGGTCCTGGGACGGTCAAAGTATGAAGCCAGCAGCGTGGCCGAGGTTTGGGAAAGCGCGGAGCAGCCTGACTTCACAAAAAAACCTGTATTCCACAGACTAAAGAATGCGGCTCTGCTTGTCCGCAAGATTGGAGACATGTCGGACGAGCTGAACAAGGAGTCGTTTGCAGTACAAATTCACTCAATGGTGGGTACGTAAAAGTGGCAAGTATTTGAAGAGAGACAGACGCTAGTAGAGCGTAACGTCCGGCTTTGTAATCAGCTCTGAGCACGCCTTGCATGTTTCATTACATGGGGCAAGTTCGCAGGAGGGAGGAGAAGCTATTGCGTTTGCTCGACGTCAGCAGCCTGCACCACTCGGCGATGATTGCAATTTCTCTTTGAGGAAATTTCGCAAGAGGCCGTGAGCTGTACACAATTGTAGTGCCCCGCGCTTTGCCTGAAAAAATTGTGGAGCGATCAAAATGTCCAGGCTTTTGGGCAAGCATATGTGTCTGGCCGACGCTTTCCGCTGCTTGGACTTGAACGTGAACCAGAAGATTGGGCCTCAGGAGCATGCCAAGTGTATTGGCAGAGAGAGCAGCCTGAAACGATGGCAACACGTTTTCAGAGTGATTTTGAAGGATCCATTGAATACAAAAAATAGTAATTGTGTTTCATCTCTGTGTGAAGCTAAACAGGAGCCGTGAGAGAATCTAATGATGTCACTGCAGTACACAATTAGACCTATCACTTCCTACCACTGACGACTGCTTCGCGAAAAGAACGTGCGAATTATTTACTATTACCATTACTATTACGGTTATTAGTATTATTGCTATTCCTATCATTACTATTATGAGAAGCCCTGGCCAGCAAGAGCTGCTTGATTCCTGTCGAGACAAAAACAAAGTGGACCTGACTGGGCACAGAGAAGGCAAGACAGACAAGTACGCACTATCACGCACACACGCGCACACCTTGCAAATACAAAGACAAAACAAGAAAAGCAGGAAGGACGAGCATGGATTTTCGGTTCTGGGAAAATGGCTCCTGCTGTAGTCTTGTTCATGTTCATTAGATGCTGTCAGATTTCGTCAAGATTGCCGCTATTCCCAAGTAATATGGCTGTGAATCAAAAAAACTCGGTGTGTGTAACAGGCTTGGGCGGCCATTCTGCGACATAGGTTTGCAACAAAATCTCCAGGCTTGCGACAAGCACCTTTGCGACACGGTTTTTTTTAGGGCATAGCCCGCAACAAAACGGGGTCTTGATTCATAGCCATATAGTATTTTGGACCGCAAGGCCAACTGCTTGGCTTAATTCGCGGGCGAGCATTCAGCAGGTTGCTGTGTCCCACAGGTTGCCGCCCATGTTCTGTATGCTACACTTGTCGAATTCAGTATCTGTCTTCGCAGCAAATCATTATCAGCTTTCGCGAAAAACAAGAGCAGTGATAAGAAAAAGGATGAAACGATGAAACCCTAGCAATCCCCACAAAGCGAGATTGAGGAAGGCATCATGTCTCTCTGAAAGACGGATTGGAAAAAATGATGTTGAACAGGAAGCTTGGCATTTCGTATGAAAATCAACAATCCTGACCTGTAGGCTGCACTTACGAACCTCGACATCATTTATTCGTCTTGTTTCTTTTTCCTGAAAATTTAGCAATCCTTGCTTGAAACTTAGTAAACCCTGAACCCTAAACAGTCAACCCTAAACCCCTAAACCCTAAACCCCTAAACCCTAAACAGTAAACCCTGAACAGTAAAATCCTTTTCCGGGGCAGGAGTGGGGCGCAATGTTCCGTGGCTCTGGCCTGGCGACCTTTCGTGAGGCGCGCTACACGCCTCCGAGGCAGTTTAGGTTTTTAAGGGTTTAAGGGTTACTAATTACTATTATTACAATTGTTATTATTGTTATTACTAGATTATTACATATTATTACTATTACTAGTATTATTGCCATTATTACTACTACTACTACTAAGTATTACTAGTGTTATTACCATGTTTATTACCATTACCAATCTACTATTTGTAGAGAAAATGGGACTGGCCAGGCACGGATCAGCTTTGAACTTCTTGATCTGAATCGGGACGGCTACTTCCATGCAAAGAGCTGTTTTGGGCTCTGGGAATCTGAGTCTGTGAGCTCCCAAGATTGTATGCTGAGGCAGCGTTACCTTGGGCGAGTTCCAGGCAGCAAGTATCACTCAGAAGGCTTCGCTTCCCACTTCGATGCGGCTGAGGCGGCGCTTGAAGGTGTGGCTGAGATCACGGGCATCGATGGTCTCCGAAAGCGTTTGGTAGCCTTTGGCTACACGAAGACGATGCAGGTAACAGGGCAGCTGGGCAGCGAGGATTTGTGTCTTACTCTCGGATTGGAGGCATTGGAGTCCATGGAGGGTAACGGCCTGGTCAATCCAGCGAAGCCCTTGATTCTCGAGGCGTGTGTTGTGCTTCAACGTGTGAAAGCCAAGCACAGTGGCCTCCAGGAATTTGGTGCCGCCTTATGCGGCTGCCTAATCCAGCCATCACTGCAGATATGCAGACTGTTAACTAGCAATTGGCAACGGTGCTGCCTTTTCTCTCCTGCTTTGCTTGTCGAGAGCGCACCAGTTCAGGTCGCATACACGTTGTTGAGCCAGATGAGCACAGGGCCATCTTCGATGCTTGGCAATATGCAGCAAGTGATCTGGACTATGCCTGTGCTAACAGACGCACACACACACATACCTACAGTAAACGGCTGCTGAGCCAGTCTCCACTAAGATACGGTTCATGTGCTTCTTTGAAATGGGCACGCCTGATGGTGCCAGCGCATTCAGCATCTCCAGGAATTGAGGGGACATGGAGCCACGGGCAAACAACCACAGTACCCAGATCAGCTTCAGGTACTTGTGGGTTCTGTCAGCTAGTGGGTTATAAGCCCAAGGATTCGAGCCTGTCTTGTTTAATTTTAGCTGCTCACAAAGGACAACGTGAGAGACAGCGGAGATCCTGTCAGCAAGGCGCAAGCATGCATGGGCAGTCTTTTGCAATGAGCATCCCTGCACATGAAACTTTCGTTCAGTCATCGACGGCGATTCATTCGCTGCCGCCACTACAGTTGATTCATGGCTTTTCTGGAAGGCGTCTCTGCACGACTTGGTTGCGGCGCTAGGAAGTGTCGGCCCGTCCCTGCTGATGGAGGATATTGCCACTGGCCTGTCAATGTGTGGATGATGTCTTTACGGCAACACGTGCGGCCAGCTGCACTTCCCGAGGCCGACCGTGCTCGACTGAGATTCGGGAACAGCGATGCTGTTTGGGCAGGCACCATAATGGAACAGATACTGAGCGTGATGCAACGTGGAGAGACAAGGCCTTGGCTTGTCACGCGTGCGGCCAGGTCTTGGTCCAGGCAGCGCTAGGCAAGAGAACATCGATCTGAAGGCGATTGTTCTGAGTCAAGTCATAACTGCCGCTAATCCAATCCATCAGCAACATCAGGTCTTCGAAAGAAAGCTGATTGACCAGCTAAGCGTGCCCAAGATGTCCGCACAAAAGGCCCTGCAGATGGTGTTTTGTTTCAGATGACTGCGACTGTAACGAGGAGCAGTAGCACCACTACCAGCAGGCAAGCAGCGATAACAGCAACAACAGCATGAGCCATCATCGTGACGACAGCTTCCTCTGCAACCCACAGCTTGCAGCAGCGGCAGCAACAGGGGCAGCAGTCGGGCCAAAACCACCGCTGCTAAGACAATTACCGCCACAAATGCGGCTGCCACCGCCAACACGTAGCAACTGCAAGAATCACTGCCGGGCAGATTATCAGCAGCATCGGCGGGGTGTCATCATAACAGCCACTGAGACCATCAACGCACAATCGAGACATGTTGAGAACGTACCAGTAGGCAACACCAGCCTTAGCATCATCATTGTTGCCGTCATCGTCAGCAGCAGAAACGGCGAGCAAGGTATCACTGACCGCAACATGAGCTTGAAATGGCAGAACCAGCATGCAGATCAATGTCATCGCGCCATCATCGTCCATCTCTCACTCTCACTCCTCTCTCTCTCTCTCTCTCTCTCTCTTGGCGTCACAGCCGGATGGCTGCTTTACAGGAGATGACAGTAGTGGAGACGGGGCCGTGGCCCTAGCAGCATCTGTCCAAGCATCGTGCCGAGGCACAGCATGCCAGGTACACCAACCGCAGATGTGGCACAACAAACGACTATACAAGATTGGAACTAGAGTCAGTCTCAGTTGAACAAGAGGCGCTGGACGTTATGAGCATAATGTGGGCCATCTTTGTGAACGCAAGGCCCGATTACTCAAGAAGCTTCATGCTTGAATCTGCACCTTCAGATGTTGGAACCTTGCCTAAGTCAGGAACAAAACTACGTGGAACCATTGGAATGATCAATTTAGCCAGCATCAGTATCAGTCTCCGCAGGCCATGTCAAAGTGGAAGCCATCATCGTCATCATCACAATCATCATCATTGTCGTCATCATCATCATCATCAATAGCTATCAATAACCAGCAAAGTCAATAGACAACTCATGATTGAACCTACAGCCGCTGATTCATGGTAATGTGATTGTCTCGGAAGTTTGCGTTTGTAACTGATGCATTGTTGGCGGGTTCGTCTCAAAATTGTCACAAAATTGTAGCTGTGCGAAAACGCCGCTGATGCCTGGAGAAGAGTAGTCAGCAGCTAAATTTCAGTCCACGTCCAATTGAAAGGAGCGAACAGACACACGATGGAAACCCGCCAAAAAGATTGTCAGGGTTTGGCGATCCTGCGACGTGCAAACGGCATATTTCGCAAAGATCAGAGAAAGAAATCGCTTACAGCAACAAGAGACTTCCAACCTCTATCATGTCCGATTCTTCAAGCGCTCACCCGTGTCCCAACAAATTCTTGCACAATTGTATAGGCTCCAACTGTTCAGCTGTTCCTGGGCAAGCGTAAGCCCAAAAACCTCGACATCCCTCAATCCCAATTTCTTAGTCCGGAAGCCTAGACCTTTGACCCCAAACCCTTCTAACCCCGAGCTGCAAGACAAAGGGCAAAACCTAAACCCTTGTTGTCGAACAAAGTCTTGAAAGGCATAAGATGTGGAACCCGAAGCAAACCTCGAAGAAACGATCAACAGATGCAACTGGTTTGGGCTGCGGATGCTTTGTGAAATGGATCGGTGGGCTGATGTATACCGGCAGTCAAAGCATCAATGGGAGGAACAAGAACTCGAGTGTAAGTCTTGTTTTCATTCGGAAACCATCGCCTGGCAACGGCCTAAGCGTTTCAGGCAGGCTGGGGTTTGTGAAGTTGAGCATCATGTACCTGTTACCGGCATGTGGGCACGGGCAAGGCTTATAGTATTGTCGTCCTAGGTGGTGCTGGTTTTGGTGCTGGCGGTGGAGGGTAGGGGCATGGGTAGCAGTTGCTGCGGTGGTGGTATAGTCTATGGATCCTTGACCTTGGCCTTGCAACATTGCATTTGCTACTTGAGCGTTCGGAGGTATCAGTACCACAACTGCTGCGGAAGGATTCCTTGTCAGGCATGTCGAATTCTGGATGTGGATGATGGTGGGGACCTATCACGTTCGGAGTGGCTTTCTCTGCACTAGATCAGCTCGCAGCACAGGGCTGAGCAATGGGCGGGGCTTTCCGAGGCTTATCTCCGCACTGGCGCTGTCCCGGCCCACGCTGCACATGGAAGACTTCCGCCGGAAGGCCCTTGACGTGTTCTCTGCTAAGTCTTGTGCAGGTATTGATTGGCGCGTTCAGGTTCAGCAGCGCTATCGCAGCATCGAAGCCATCTTCCGCGAGTGCTTTGAGCATTTGGAGAGTGAGGACTCATTGATCTTGTCTCGCAAGACCATGTGACGTCACGATGGGACACACGACGTAGGAGCTAAACAATGATGACGACATGCGGTGCCTCGGCTGAAGTCTCTCAAACTGCGCCCGCAGTCCGAGCCTCTTGAGGCTCACATGCAGTGAGTTTGCGGAGATCTTGGAGGAGCTGGACTTCAGCAGGCTTTGTCTGCAAGAGTATAGAAAATGCACAGTGGTCTAGTATAAAGGTTGAAGCTGAAGCTGATCATAGGCGAGAGACCAGCTACCTGTTTTGGCTCGCCGACGCAAATGGAACAGCAAAGCTTACCCTTTACGAGCGCCTTGGATGCGCAGTTACGGGAAGAGTGATGAGTCGAGAAGAGAAAGAACTTGGCTGCGTCCAAAACAATGGACTTGCAATGTGCAACCATGCTCGGCAAAACCTTGCAAATAGACAAGGGCTTGCAACAAGCAGTTGTGGGGGACCCATGTTCGGACACGTGGTTAAATCGAGAAGCCGCATGCTCTTAGTGGAATGATGTTGCGTTGTGGGTGCATTTGCAGCCGCGGCATGCATGACATGAGAAAACTGCGCTGCCAATTCCTTTCATTACGGAAATCTACATTCAGCAAGCTTGTGAGTGAACGCGGAAGCGAAAGAGTTTTGACTCCTTGGCAGTCAGGGCCTATGCCGCCGTATGCGCAAACGTCTCCTCCCTCTCCTTTCTTAGTGCTTCGGACGTCTTCCGTCAAGATGACCAGTACCAACACCAGCCTCAGATTTTCCCAGCCTTGAGTAGCGTTCAATTGACAATGAAATACCTACTACTCGCGTATGAGGGACGAAGGGAAGGAATGCCAAAAGATGTAGGAATCAAGCAAAAAGTTCAACGCGATACCATGCAAATCTGAGACTAAACCATGACTGTGCTTTACCCTTCCTTTATACTGCACCGAACCCCAAAAGCAACAGGACCCCCAAATTATGTATGGCAGACGATTATACAAGAAGTTTCGACGAACGTACACATGGAAGTTCATCTTCATGTCTAGTCTGGCACATAGGAGACTGCCCTCCATTCGACACCGCGTTGCGGACCCTCTGGATCATCCTCATTGCAAATTGATGAAAGGCAGCCCTCTTCAATTAACATCCAGACCTATACAACAGAACACCCCGTCACACAGAAATGCCTGGCTAGTTGGACAGGGGCCTAACCAAGGAGGGGACTGCATGCAGCAGAAAACAGTACCAGGGTGATTTTGGGGTGCACAGGCCCAGCAGCAAACGAGCATGTGTTAACAGCAACCCACATTTTTTAGGATTCCGCTCAGGTTCTTTCGTGGGGTGAAGCTTTTCGTGCCAAGCTGCGTGGTCGAGGGCATCCGACTACAGGCTGGACGTGCCAACTGAAGAGCACTGAATGAGCGGCATTGACTTCTGGCTGTCTGGCAGCAGGCTCTGGTCCATCATCGCCGGATTTCAGATCTTTTCCGGAACTCGGGCGTGGCCTGGGACCGGCGTTTGAACTTTCAGGTACATGGTGAGCTGAGTTTGACCTATCTTCTGACGTACTTGCTGAGCCTGACTAGACGGGCCTGCGAAAGGCATTCACGCAGCTTCTGACCAAGCTGGACGTGAAGTGTGAGGAGAGGAGCGTTTTTTTCACAAGATTTGTCCCTGTGGGGCGCGATTGCAGGACCCACAGCTCATCTTTGACTTCTTGGATGTTCGCAGTTGTGGCTCCGTTTGCATCAGTGAGGCCCAGGAGCGTGATCACATTGGTTCAGATGTCTGCCAGTTAAATTACGCAGCGACTCTGCGAAGGTGGTATCCTGCTTGCAGAATATTAGCCCTGGAGTGAAGGCCAGCAGTTGCGGAATTGTGATAGTCCGCATCATGTTGATACATGTCCGTGTAGTGCGTACAATCCAGGGAACCAGCTTTTGGTTCGGCAGTTTTTGCTGCATCTGCAGTGGTAGTGCCAGAATGAATGTAGAGCATGGTTCTGCATCAAGCTACTTGTCAGATGACACAGCACCAGACCGGCAGCTTCAGTTAAGTAGAAACAAGGGTCAGTCAAAGACTTGCTTTTTAGGATCTGCTCCAGGAACGATCCACAACGCAAGAATCAGACAAGAGAGTGGAGAAGGACGGGGCCACTCTTGGACTGCAACAGGTTCCTCAATGCCAGAACGGCTGATCTTGCACAAGAGGATGTTCGGGCAACGCTTGCTCCGATGCACAAGACAGTACCCTTCCTCAGCACATCACAGCACTTTGTCCTGGCTCCCTTCGGAGCATGTCCATGCAAATCAGGTTACGGAGCTGAAGTCTACCATGAAGCGGGACGTGTCCGAGGAGAGTAAAACTTGCAAATTCAGATCGAAATCGGCAACCCAGAGGATTCAGATACAAAACGAAAAGTTGACTCGCTGAGAACACGCTTGCAGCCAGGACGTTGGGAGGAGGTTCTCCGTGTCGGTCAGCCCCAGGACAGCCGTTGTCCAGCCTTGCAGACTTGCCTGAATGTGTTGGCCAGAAATCTGATGAGGTTGCCGCAAACCTCGCGTAAGTATAGCCCCAGTCGGATCCCAGTTTGTGGCAGGGGTTTTCGAGCTCCAGAGACGTTGATGGCTCAGCACCATGCCACTCTGTACTGTGGACTGGATATGATTGGATGCAATGCATCCATCCTGGTCAATGTTCCATCCGAATTGAAAATCGGGCTTGCAGCTCGCTCATGACAGACGTGTTCTAAGGCTGCAGCAGGCTGTGGAGAAGTCGGAGCGGGGTGAAGCACGTAGTCCGGCATCGCCTGCGGGGCAGGCATGTTCTGCTTTCGTTTTTCTTGCCCCTCTTCCCTAAGGCATTTAAGACACTGCTTAGACTTTGCAGCCAATGGAGTCTGAACAGGCACCCAAGGCCTGCGACGTGAGCACCGTGATCCTGAACGAGACCTTCCAGAGGCGGGGATGGGACAGCTTCTGTGTGGCCTTGTTGTTGACAATGGCATATGCACCTCTATTTGAACAACAACATGCAAACTTGCAAGACACCAAAGCATTGTAATTCAAACCGTTGTTTGGGCGCAGCCATGCAAATGGGTAAGAGGGGCGCCTGAAGGGAAACCCTGACCTAAATGCCAAACTTGAAGGGCCAATGGATTTTCTTGCAGCGCGACAGCATGACATTTGGCCCCTGCATTGTCGTATGAATTGCTTGCGCCTGCCAGGATAAATGGAGCGTCCGAGGCATGCTCATGGGCAGTCCAGGTTTTTTGAGGGGCAATGTGACAGTGAGTGTCATTCTGCACAGGGACGGCGGAGGAACAATCCGAGCGTCATGGATTACTGTGGTAAGAAGACAGTGGCTGCTTGGCTCAATTAGAGTAGGGAAGCGATGCCCAGTACGAAGCACATCGGCAGGCCTTTGACCCTGTGCTCTGACCTTGACCAGGACGGGCTCTGCGGGTACCTGCAGTCGTCGAGTGATGTCCTGGAGGCTCACAGGCCCCTGCTGTCGCATCACTATAGCAGGACAGGGGGGGGGTTGTGGGGGTTGTGGGGGTTGAGGGGGGTTTGGGGGAAGCACCTTCAGGACTGACTGGCACAAGAAGCAGGAGAGCATCAAGGCCGTCTTGAACCGCCGCATTTGAGCCTTGAGCCGGCTGTGCCGGCTGAGCCGGCCACCGTTTCACCCCGCTCCAAAGGAGCGGGCACCGGCACCGGTGGGTTCAAGTGCTAATGATCAATGATCAATGGTCTCATTCAACTCAAAAGGACGGCGCGGATCAGTCCAAACTCACTTCCGACAACATGAACAGGAATGTTATCACGCAGCTGTTGACATGGCAGGTTGCAGAACCATCTGAAGAACAGATCGCCACTGAATCGGCAGAACACGTCTGGCCGGCTTGTGAAGCCTCAAGTGCACTGGCGACGGCGCGTGTGGGAAGAGTAGGATGAGTCAAGTTTGTCGTTGGCTCAGCTTCTAGTTGCATGATCCTGCAAAATCTGCAACCATTCATTGAGACTGATAACAGTTGAGAGAGATACTGTTTGCCGCAATGTTACATGATTGTCGTCCGCCCTCTTCTTGCAACCAAACAAGTTGACCCCAGCCACTGCAGCAGTAGGAATCAAGGAGGACGGACAAGGTAAGCCATGGGGAGCGCCTCAGACGAAATGGCGGCAAGTTGAAGTAGAGACGCTACGTGCCCAAACAGGACTTGCAGGCTGAGCCGGGCATGTTGATGACACTGTTGTGATGTGATGCGGCGTGTGTTACAATCCTGCTGCATGGTGCAGACATAGGTCATCCTCTTGTACATATCTGATGCAGCACGTAACAAAGTGTGCGTAGAAGCTGAGTAGTGACCAATCCCACCATCTGCGGGCCTTCCTTGCCCATTGGCTGATCAAGCCTGGAGGCCCCAAAAACAATGCCCAAGAACGAGAAAAAGAACAAGGACCTGATGTCGACGCAGGCACGCTTCGGCTGCTTTTGCCCAGTCTACTCTTTAGCGTGTTTTGATGCTTGGTGTCAGGTGTTGCTGGCAGCATCAGGTTTAGCAGAGTTCTACAAGTATTTCGACCAGGCGCTGATCAAAAGTTAAAGATGTGCGACAGTGCAATCGCTTCCATGCAGGGCTGTACTCACATGCAGGCAGGCCACTCTATGTTCGATGCGATGGCCAAAATCAGTGATCTCAAGGCAAGTCAGCACACTATTCTTACAGCATGGCGGTGGAAGGATTATCAGCTTGGCGTGAGCTTGTGTGAGCTGGAGGTAGAGCAGATCCTGCTGGAGGTGGAAGCGCGCTGCGGGGTTACCTTCAACTCAGCAGTACGGATCAAGCTCTGGAAGGCTGGGCAAGATCAAGGCATAAAGTCGGTGTAGTTGCTATGAGCCCTGTCCCCTGTAACTTTTTCCTTTGCGCATTCTGTTCGTGGGGTGGGGCGGGGGGGAAGTACTGTTGATGCTAAACATCCTGCATGATCTTAGTCAAAAGAAACACCATGACCCAAAAGGAAGCAGAGCAAGAGCTGATATCCCACGCTGGCAGTAGTGTATGTCAGCATATTTCCTGCTGCTCTGCTAAGCTTCGGAGCGGTCGCCGAGAGCTTAAAGCTACAGCTTTGCATCTCACAGGCCCTTCGCTACCAGTGGTTCCGTGGGCCAGGCAAGAGTGACTCGGCAGCCCTGCCACTCTGGTCCTCTTTGGAATTGCCTTTCGATGTCTTAGATTCTAAGATGTCAGCCCAGGCATGAAGTTTGTAGAGCGGACAGACGTGCCACAGCTGTCCAAGCCTCAGCGACCGGCCATTGCGTCCGCGCTGCATTCAAAGAGCCTGAGACCTCTTCCAAGGCACCTGCCTCCTTTAGAATGGCAAGAACAAGACAGCAAGTTCAGGCTGGTGGATGCCTGCAGCCTGCTGTGCAAAGAAGTTTCCTTGAACTCCCCTGGGCCCTTGCAAGGTTTGCAGATCTGGAGTCTGACAGGCAAAGGCAGATTGTTCGTGCCTCGCCAGGAAATGCCTTGAATGCCTTACCAGCCTTACCACAAGAAATCACAAGAGTACAGATGGCTCCGCTGCTGTTGCTGCTGCTGTAAAATTGCTTTCGGCTTCTTGATCATCTAACCAGGCAAGATCAAGCAGCTGGCACCTGGTGAAACTGGCCAGTCCTTGCAGACCTTCCAGTTTGAGGTGCGGGCTGAGCTCGCAGCGTGTCGAGTCAGGCGGCAGCCTTGCGAGGTGTATACCCGCACGCTCGATCTGATCTACGAGTATCGAGACTTGGAGCGGTGCGTGCAGGCCACACTTCCTGGAATCCTTCAGTAGATGACAGTAGTCATTCCTGACAGACAGGAGTGGGAGAGGCGAAATCCGCGTTCCATGATCCAGGAGGACAGCCATTAAGGGCGCCGCATAGGGGATGCAGCTTTCATCTGTTGACAAAACAGCGGAAGGACATGCGAGAAGAAGTGATGCGGATGAGACTCAAAAGTGCCTTGGGCATTAACTTTACCAGAGACGGTTTGCATTCCAACAGGGTACTCGTACATTTGGCAGGCTGCATCGACGCTGCAAATGCAAGTATTGCGTGACTTCGCTGCAGAGGAGCTGCTTACATAAGTGAATGTCAATCCCGCAGTGGGCAGCTTCAAGGACTGAATTTCTGTAGCTAAGGGTCCGAAAGGCACGGGCGCAGAAATTGAAAAGCTATGCGTCCACCTTGCTGCTGATCCAGCTGCTTCTCTGCATTTTGCTGCTGTGCGCTAGAGATACACGAGCTGGGTGAGTCCAAGGCTCATCATGTTCTCGATGTGCAACTTGGCTGGTCTGGTACACTCATTCAGCCTTTCCAGGGTTGCCTCCACAAGGCGTGGCCATGCTGTTGACAGCCTTTGCATCCCTCAACAACACGCCACCACAGCACTTCGGAGGCACTTGGCATTTGTTGGGATCTGGAGCTGCAAAGACGAATTCAGGGGTGGTTAGCGCCAGAAGATGTTGGTGTGATATTTATTTGCAGACCAAGGATCCTCTTCACCTTCTTCCTTTCAAGCTTCATGGCTGGATTTGTGGGTGCGAGTATGAAGTGTGACTATATCTTAGCAATGTGAGGCAAGCAGTTTCTATCGTCCATGGTGTCACGGCTGCAAGATGAGCTGCAAAATGCTATAGATGTTTTGTAAGTCAACGTGGACCTTCAACCGAGGAGCTTTCCTCTGTCAGTGTTTTAAGATGCGCCATGATGCGACTCAGGTTTTCTTCACTGCGTCCGTGGTGGCAAACGTTGTTTCTGAGCGTGCGCGGGGAGATCCCCTGATTCGTGAACTCAGAAAGACCGCGCCTAGCCTTGGACCAGCTTACTTGTCTGATCCAAGCAGGTTCTTCTCGGAGCAATGCAAGGTATAACGCAGAGGGTTACAAAAGCTCTCGACTACAGCCTTTAGATCAAAATATATTCTGACTTCATACCAGTGGCCAAGATTGGGTTTATGGAGCACCATTTTTTAGCAGCGCCTGCTAACTTCGTGAGTGAGATGGCTTGGGAGGGCCTCCAAGATGGAACGCTGCCAACCCTGCCGTTGCTGAGGTGTTGAGCTGCGAACGTCTCATTGAGCGAATTAGCCTCTCGGCTCATAGCACGTTCAGATGAACCTGATGAAATACCCGCACGATATGTTGCTTGCCATGTTTGACGTTGTTCAATGATCACAAAGGCGATTTCCGCATTGCCACAGAGGAGTTGCGGCTGGCGAAGAACGAGGCCTTTGAGAGAGTCTGCCTTGCAAATGGAACTAGAGTGAGATAGTCCTGACCTCCAACTGCAAGGCTGGTAAGAAAGGGGTTCCCGTCGGCCTGAACTTGAATGTTTCCACAGAGAGACTTGGTTGCAGTTGTCATGTCGCTGCATTGGCACAGCTGGCAAAGCCATGCAAGATGGACGCACTGAGGGGCAAAGGCTCGCGTGGAGATGGGTTATGCTCTCAGCTCTTTGCCACCTGCATTTGAAGGTTCTGTGGGAAGGATGATGCTGTGTGCGATTTGACCGCGAACCGAAACAAGCTGCCACATTGGCTCCGGAGCTGAAAGACGACATTGCATCTCTTGCAAGGTTAGTGTCCAATTGCAGAAGTTGACAGGACAACAGTGGTTTGTCCAAGCTAGTGCCGCACTGGCGATACTCATTCTGAGCGTCCACGGTCACGTAACTGCAAGCCACAGGCGTGTTCATGCACGCATCACGCACTCGCATCTCCCCTAGCGAGCGCAGTTAGGCCTCCAAGGAACTTCCATGAGAGCGCATTCGGGCCTGCAAGCACCCGCATCAACTGCATCACGCGCCCCTGTTTCTCTGCAGGGACCCCCCACAACAGTGATCCCTAAAAAAGGGGCATCCGATGGGCCGGCCCCCGACACCCCTTCCCTGGTGCAGTCTAGCCGCACAATCACGACGTTTGTGCTCCACCTCCAGCCGGCATTTCTGTGGGGGAAAGGGCTAGTCCGCGATGTTGCTCGCGAGCTTGTCGGGTCTTCGTCAAGCTCGGGTATGCCATCTCCAACTGTCGGCTCCATTCTGCCCGCCTGCATCGAGCGGCGTATACGCAGGGGCTTTGATCGCTGAGCTTCCCTTTTTCCTCTCGCTCTCAAGTGATTATGGTTTAAGGCAGGACGATGGAGACGACCCAAGCCAGGCGGATGGCCACAAGCACCTCTGATGCACAGAGATCCCTGTGATGCGCAAGGTCCGCCAGCGGGCAGGCGGCAAGAGGCACGGCTACTCAGTTCTTCGGTTTTGCTGCAGAAGGATGTTTTAAGGCTTGCCACAGGCGTGCTTCTGTATCAGCTGTAGTAGATCGTGCACCATCGCCAAAGGCGGAAGAAGGAGCGACCCAAGGATGAAGCCCTGCAGCTATGGGCGCCTGATGCCACTTAGTGGCATACAGCCTCCAGATTTCTGGGCCACATCCCATGGAGCGACTGTTGTTCGAGATTGGGGTGAGGATTCAGGTTCGGAACTTGGCAGCTGATTGGCCCTTTAGGGCGGAGGCTTTGCAATCTGTGGATCTTAAGTGCAGGGGTGTGGGACCCTGGGTTTTGCCTCGCGTTTTGCTACCCAGGCTGGCAAATTGGATAGTCGACAGCTTAGCTCAACGAAGCTCAATGCTTCGCAGTATGCGAGCAGGCCTAGATCAAAGGCTTCCTGCACATCCTTAACGTGGAAGCTGCTGCAGACCGCCATTTATTGATTCCAGGTCAAGAGATTCAGATGATGCAGAAACAGCTTGCCCAAAGCTTCAAGAGGCTGGAGGCCGTGAGCTCAGCAATGTGAGTAATCACAGCTCACAAGCATTCAGCTTTGCTCTTGAAAACAACTGTGTGGATCCTTCTCAGGGTCCACCAGAAGACTTTCAGCGGCCTGGCGGCGATCGCATGCGGACTTTCCATCGTGCGCCCTTCAATGTGTTACGCAAGCTGGTTGAGAAAGACGTGCGGCAAGCCATAATATGCTTGACTTGCTTCTTTGCGCGCAGGAAAGCTTGGGGGCGTGTCGGAAGATGACCTGTGCGTGCAGATCACGAGCAAACAGCAGAAGAAGCGTCAGGCGCTATCACTGTCCGTGGCAAAACTCTGCAGCCTGTGAGCTTTGCACGGTTTTTGCGAGGCTTATGTGGAGCAGTTGAAAGAACAAGCGCTGGCAAAACTTCCAAAGAACCCTCCGCCACCCGCTCTGGCTTTGCAGACGTCCCAGCAGGACGGTGCGATCACACAAAAGGGAGTTGTTTGAATTGCATGTTTCTTGTTACTGAGCTGTGGAAAGGATAGTCTGCGACAAGCACGCAGAGATCAGGCCAGTGAAATGACATTGCATTGACTGCAGTTTATTCGGTATTGTTGTCGGGCTTGGTGAGTGCACACGGGCTTCCACCAACGTATGGGCGTATGCTGGGCCTTGTGTTCGTCATTCTGACTCAATCCTCGTCGTACACGCGTGCATCCCAGCCTGGCTGCAAGAAAGGCGGCCTGCAGGACGAAGCACGGGGTGCTTGTAGGAACTACGCCAGCATCTGCATGGGAACCAGGAACAACGCCGGCTGCGTCATCTTGTAATTGTAGAGGGTCTCTGCAACTTGGGATTTACATGGATTGGGGGGCTTGATTTTTCTTTTTGTCAGCGTTCTCCAGTCGAGGATTTGGGGTGTCTCACGTTCAGGGCTGTGTTTTTCTGAACTTTAGGATGCTTTAGGCTTCGCGTATAAGATAAGATCGATGGTTGTGAAATGTGAGGTCCTTTTTTTTGGGGATAGCTGGGCTGCCTGCGCTGCCTGGAGAGACCTTGAGTCGCCAAGAAACAAATGTCATCATCGGAAAAGCGGTCGGATCAGAGATTCGTTTGCAAGGTTGCAAGTTGCTGATGAGGAAGGGAGCTGTGCGCCTGAAATCGGGCCTCTCTGACTGTGATGCAAGCCTTCTCTTCGGGAAGCTCCCAAATGAGCATCTCGGCAGGAAAGCAAGTCCCGGGGGCGGGAGACAGCTCTGATGCACGTGACCATGTACCAGCGGACTGCTGGCGAAAGTTTTTCTATTATCAGGAGGTTGGGCGAGGAGGGAGAGGGGGGGGGGAAGGCTAGTACGTTCCAGCTGTGTGTCGGCCAGAGACGCAAACGAACTGATATCTTCAAGCAGGAAGTTCTCTCGCAACCTGCTCCGACTGCCCATGCCATGATGCTCATTGGCTCGGCAAGGCGCAAACCATCGGACGACAGCTCACTGAACAGGTGCAAACGCAAGGGTGATAGATGCCAAGTGCAAACACCACGCTTGGCTGACAGGTTCTGCCACTGGCACCGCCTCCGCCTCCCAGAGCTGGAGTCTATGCTAGTCGAGGCCCCGGAAAGCTTGTCATTATTGTGAATCACAAACATTGGATTTGTAACAGGCTTGGGCGGCCATTCTGCGACATAGGTTTGTAACAGAATCTCCTGGCTTGCGACAAGCACCTCTGCGAGAAGGTTCTTTGGTAGGGCGTACCTGCGCCAAGCATTCGCGACAAAGGTATGTAACAACAGGCCGCGACAAAGTGGTATGTAACGAGGGGCGGGGGGGCACACGACAAAACAGGGTTTTGATTCACACATATATATGTATATATATATACTGGTACACATACACAGATATATATATATGAATGTAGTACCTTTAGGGTCTATTTGACGTCCTATTTAAATTAATTAAGATCTGAATAATTTAAATAATTTAAATAATTCAAATACTTATTTAAATACTTCAAATGATTTAAATAATTTAGAAAATTTAATTATTTAAATTATTTAAGTTATTTAGGAGGCCCGAGAATTTAAATAATTTAATTATTTGTATTATTTAAATTATGTAACTTATTTAAATTATTTTGGAGGCCCGACAATTTAAATAATTCAAATAATTTAGATAAGTTAAATAATTCAAATAATCTAAATAGTTTAAATAATTTGACTAATTTAAATAATTTAAATTATTTCGGAGGCCCGAGAATTTAAATAATTTAAATAATGTAAATAATTAACTTATTTAAATTATTTAAATTATTTCGGAGGCCCGAGAATTTAAATAATTTAATTATTTAAATTATTTAAATTATTTTGGAGGCCCGAGAATTTAAATAA